ATAAATAAATAAATAAATAAATAAATAAATAAATAAATAACTAGCTAGCCCAGTCCCTGAGCCCTGGGCTGAGCCCCTCTCCCAGCTGGCCAGGCCCAGGGCTAGGAGGCAGCAGGGTCCTTGCTCTTGGCGCTGAGGTCACCAATGTAGAAGGAGACGAGCAGGGCCTTCCAGGTCCTTGGTATAAGCAGGTCAGGCTCAGTTGTTATTCATGATCCACCAAGAGCCTGGGGGTTAGAGGCTGGGGTCAGGAGCCATCCGGGCCCTGGCCTACCCCTCTTGCCCCAAGAACTGCAGCACACCTGGGAAGAACATGGTGGTGAGAGTGTCCGGGGCACGCAGGTGGTCAATGAGGATGCGCTGGAATGCCTTGCTGCTGGGTGCTTGCTGGTGCCTAGGGAGGCCAAGGATGGAGGGGACCAGGGCTGTACCCACCTGCTAGATCAGGGCTACTGTTCTGGGGTTTTCCCAAACCTGTCCAGTCCTTCTGCCTGGATTCAGGTCCCAGGCCTTCTCCATACTGGCTATGAGCCTCATTTTTTTGGTCTTTTTCTTTTCTTTTCTTTTCTTTTCTTTTCTTTTCTTTTCTTTTCTTCTTCTTCTTCTTCTTCTTTTTTTCTTGAGACAGGGTCTCACTTTGTAGTTCAGAGTGCACTCAAACTCACTATGTATCCCAGACTGGTCTCTCATTTGTAGTAAACCTCTTGCCTCAGCCTCCCAAATGCTGGGATTATAGGCATGTGCCACCCTGCCCGGCAATTAGTTTTCTCCTATGTAAAATGTGGACAAAATCTACTAGGGTCCTGTAGATTTCTTTTTCTTTTTGGCAGAGCTGAGGATTGAACTCAGGCCCTTGCACTTGCCAGGCAAGCACTTATTCTACTGACTCATCTCCCTGGCCCCCTAGGGTCCTGTGAGGATTGAGTGATGTTTCAAACAAAGTATCTGGCATGGGATTGACACAAAGTGACAATAGTATACAGTTACTTGATGCCTACTATATACTATATAGCATATAGCAGTACATAGTACATAATACCCTGAAGCACTGTACTCAGGATACTGTGTGTATGAGTGTGTGTCTGTGTGTGTGTGTGTGTGTGTGTGTGTGTGTGTGTGTGTGTGTGTTTGGTACTGGGGACTGAATTTGGGACTTTGTGCTTGCCGGGCAAGTGCTTATGCTGCTGAGCTATCTCCCCTTCTGTGATGTATTGTGGCTGGGGATGGAACCGAGGTCCCTGCATGCTTGCCTAAGCAGGCGCTTTAGACCACTGAACTATCTCACCAGCCCCACATCCTGGTTTAAAGATGGCAATGGGAAGTCTATTTCTCCCTGCAGTGCTGGGGATGGAACCCAGGGCCTCCTGCATGCTGAGCATGTGCTGTACCACTGTGCTACATACACCACCAGCCTTTGTTTTTATAGTTTGAGGAATTTTTGGCTGTTTTGTGGAATTATAACACAGAACAGAGCACAGGAATAGTACCCCCTGGATGGGCTTCCTCTATAATAGACACAGTGAATCAGGTCTGAACCTCCCCAAGCCAGCCGAGGGTCCACATGGCACAGATATGGTCAGTACATTCTGGGAGCTGCCAGGAGTCTGGAGGTGAAGAGGGCACCCTGGCACAGCACGGGCTAATGATCCACTAGGGACCCCCACTCTGGGTCTCAGGCCTGGGTAGCCAGGCTGGGCAGAGAACTATATGCAGGGGTCACTTCAAAGAACCTGTAGGTAGAGGCCAGACCTGCTCACCTTCTAGCACCAGCACTCTGGACTGTCTTTCTGGCCAGGCCCCCAGCAAGGAGCTGACCCCCAGAAGGATCAGGAACCATCAGCCCTGGCTGAAGGCCTACTGTGACTTTCTTGGATGAAGCACCTTATCAAGGACCTGTCTTCTAGCTGTGCCGGCTCACTCTCCTCACCCTACATTCAGCCCAGGAGACGCCTGACCCCGGCCCCCCAGCCCAGGCCAGAAGCTGCCTGTGCTTTCAAGGTGGAACGTGGCTTTTATTTTCAGAGAACCACTTCAGAGTTTAGTGATGATCCCATGGCCTGGCTTTGCCAAGGGAGAGAAAGGAGACACCAAAGGTGAACACTGCCTTTATTGTCCCTGCACCAGGGTCCCAGGCTAGGGTGCAGGGATCTCTGGGGGCAGCAGGTGACTCTAGGTCCAAATTATTGCTACTTGGTAAGGTTACCTTAGGGCTTCCCACAGTGCCCTGAGAATGGGGGGGGTGTGGGCATGCAAATGATATGCAAATGGCATGCGGACCAACCAGGATCCTTCAGAGATCGCTGGTGAAGTACAGGTGCTGGAAGAATCTCATAGGAGCAGGAAGGTGATGACACTCGGGTCCTTACTCACTGCAGACTAATCCAGCCCAGTCTCAGGGGAAAGGTTCAAGAGGTTGAGGGTCCCTGAGCATCAGCCCTGGTTCTGCCACTGGTTAGGGAAAAGCAGAAACCTGGCCCCAAGACAGGAGAAAGAAAGCAGAACACTGAGCCAGCCAGAGAGAGAAGGAACCTGCTTATTACACAGCAAAGCAGGGGCAGACAGGACCAAGCTCAGGCCTCCTGAGCCAGCTGGAAAACCAGATGTCTGGAAGGCTAAAGCTACAAACAATAAGATAAATAAATAAATAAATAAATAAATAAATAAATAAATAAATAAATAACTAGCTAGCCCAGTCCCTGAGCCCTGG